GGGGGGAGAAAATTTGATGAATTTTTCAGCGACGCGTTCACCACCGCGGGGAAAGAGAGACGAGCCGTTTACACCGGGTGAGGATTAAGGGAACGAAAACTCCGTCGCGAAATCGCCTGGATCGATCGACTATAATTTCGAGCATTTACGCACAAAGTCGCCGCGCCGATAAGCCGATATATTGAGAAGAAAATTTCAGGCCGCGCGAGACCGTACGACGATAAAGTATACCGCCGTTTCTCCTTTCCCGATAAAGAGGCGTCGCAGGCGCGAAGTCGCCGGCGCGATAATGAAAAGTTGAAGTTCATGGGAAAGAGGCGGAGTAACGGCGCGCGCTGCGGCGGTAGAACTCAGGAATTACAACGGGAAAACGTTGTTAATTGAAGTCTTACAAGCAGAAAAGTAGTTTTAGATCACACCGAACTGCAAATATTTTGCACATATAAGAACGCAGGTTCTTTCGCACCTCGAACAGGTTATTTATGTAAAAAGAATTGAGAGCCAGTATTCAACTTGTGGAATAATCTGAAGTGCAGTTAACAAATGAACAAAAAAAATTAAGTCACTACATATTTCTATAATACAAATAATGAATGACTGCTTTCTTTCATACCGACAAATATTTGTCAAAAAAATTAAGACGGTACAATTAAAAATAATAAAGTATAAAATATAGTTATATTATAATTTAATTTTAATTAATTCGATTAAAATTAAATTGATATGTAACTATAATATAATAATGCAGTTAACAGATGGAAACTGTTCTTGTTAATTCAATTGCAATAATAATGGACTAGAATTTCAAATTTGAAACGCGATGGACCGATTTTTATCGGCTGGATTAGGATTTGAGCCGCGTATTACTTCGACAGCAAAAACGCTGTCACGTTTCTCTTTCATGCTTTTCACATTTTTCATACAGAAACTCACAAAACGTATCGTTGTGATACTTGCGTTATTAGGGACGCGATCGGGTGCGTGACATAAACGCCTTGACGAATTTCGAGGCTGGTTTTTCGTGGTTTAATTCGCGAGTGAATGATACGCGCGTCGATTCATCGTCGACGTTTTCCCGCTTATTAACGTGGGAACTCGAAATCCGCGTGGAATAAATGCGCGAATTTACGGCGCGATTCCCGCCTTTACCGCGAGATTGGCGATAAACCGCGCGAAACTTAATATTCCGCTATCTCTCCCGGCGGCGTCCCGTTGTAAACGTTCGATAAAAGTTAATCCTCAGCCTGAAATATCTCTTTTATTCCTTAATTGGAAACACGTGTTTCACGCGTGTCCCGCATATAGCAGCGGATACGCGGAACGATCGAGAGAGAGATTGCTAAATCCGAGACATATCGAGTTCCTTATAGAAACAATGATACTCGCAACGTTCGATAATCCCAACAAGATGATAAAATATTTTCGAGAGATAACTTTGTATCTCTAAATTCCCATCTCAAACATTCGCCATATCACGCCAAGTCGATTGAAAATTTTTATTGCTTGCAACTTATTGAAATTTTCGATTAATCCTGGAACGTACAATAACATACACTTTAACAATCTTGCGAATAACTGATAATTAATAATTAATAACAATCATCAGAATTTCTCTCATTCTTTAATCGCTTAACTCGAAAATTATTAATGTTAAAATTATTAACCCCTCTCCCCCTCCCAAAAAAGGTTATTTTGCTAAAAAGGAGATTATTTTCTCTCTTCTTCACGCCACCCTATTTATCGCAAACTTGTCATTAAATACTGCTGCCAGGGGGTTAATCCTCGGACGAGCGCGCCGCGACGGTCTCCCCGTTGCCTCTGGGCTCCGGAAAATGTCACGGGTCTCTCGCGACCGTAAAAACTGGGACTCTATGGGGAGGACGGGATCTCGCTCGCCTCGGGAGGGTGCAGCCGGGCCACCGGGCGACAGGAAGGGAGAAAAGGGAGATGGGGAGCGGGGTGAGGAGGGTAGGGGGACTCGCGCTAGCTTGGGAGCATGCCCATAATGTTGCGGGTATTATAGGCGGTCCGCGGTCGGTGTCGTAGGTGGTGTATAGTAGGTAGTACGAAGACGGCGTTGCCTATAAGCTAATAAATTGAACGGATGTTTGCCCCGAGCTTTTGTCATGATGATCACGGGTAGCCCACGCCTGGCCCCGTCGAGCACCTTTTGAATCTCTCTCGAGACGGCCCCGGCCGTTCTCCCTCCCGTTCTCTCTCTCTCTCTCTCTCTCTCTCTCTCTCTGTCTCTCTGTCTGTCTTTCTCCCTCGCTACGACCGAGATGAACGCGTGTAAACGCGCACGTGAATGCTTTTCGGAGCTTTATCCGCGAGTGGAGGATAAATCGTAGAAATGATAATCACGATGGGCGATTTCCTGTCTCTTCGCCGCAAATATCCTTTTTTTCTTTCTCTCTCTCTCTCTTCTCTCCTCTTTCACGCGATTCACTCGGATGACTCGGTAACCGTTGCGATCGCGGTACTTCAACGTCGTTTCGCG